AACGATGTCACTATAATCACAGTTTACAATAGATTACAAATTGAAAAAGATAAGGAATAGAAAACACCTCTCTTGAGTCACACAAGAGATGAACACCTCCTTTGAATCCACAAAGGATGAACAACAGTTTTTTCTAGAGACGGCACAACACACAATCCACCAAGAAACTCACTCAGTGATTCTTATCGCTTCTAGACCACACTAGGTTTTCAAAAACCCCTTTTTCTTCTCTACAGAAAGTTCTCTAGCAGTCACAGTTCTTAACTTTTGTAAGAAAAAGGTTTGTTTATTTGCAGAGAGCCTTAGAGAACCTTAAGTAGAGAGAATAGGGTCTGGGAAATGATGATTTTCGAAAACATAAGAATTGGGAATAGGGTTTTTGTAAATTGGTTCCGATTTGAATTTTAAAACTCATAACAGACGTAGATAATCGATTATCTTGAGTGATAATCGATTATTACAGAGCCATTTTCGCAGAGGAGTAAAACAGGACCAGGATAATCGATTATTTGTGCAAATAATCGATTATCTGGCTGGGATAATCGATTATCACATAGTGGATTTGATAAAAATGAGTTTTCAAATGATGGACTATGTGTTGACTATCTTGTACTATAATTATACAGACTCAAAAACATAAAACAAAGTTATTACAAGTAAAATACACATGATTCTAAGTCTTCAAGTCTTTAAGTCCTTTGTTCTTGAATTATCATCAAAATCTTCAAGCTTCATATCCTTGTATGTTTAACATCATCTACTAAAATTCAGGAGAAAAATGACAAATGTCATTTATGCGGGAAGTCTGGACATTTCCAGAATATTGTTTAAAGCGTAAAGTTTGGTTCGAAAAGAAAGGTGAACATAGTGCTTACGTATGTTTTGAATCAAACTTAACTGAAGTTCCCCATAATACTTGGTGGATTGATTCTTGATGTATGACTCATGTTTCTAATGTGATATAGGGATTCCTTCCAACCCAAACTATAAACTCAAATGAGAAGTTTGTCTTCATGGGAAATAGAGTGAAGGTTCCAGTGAAAGTTGCAGGGACTTACTGTTTAATCCTTAACATTGGATATCACTTAGACCATATGAATACTTTTTATGTACCTAGTATCAATAGGAATTTAGTTTCTTTATCTAAGCTTGATGTTGCTAGATACTCTTTTAAGTTTGGGAATGGTTGTTTCAGTTTGTTTAAGAATACTTGTATGATTGGATCTGGTACACTTTATGATGGTTTATATAAATTGAATTTCGATAATTTTTATATTGAAACTCTTATGACCTTGCATCACAATGTTGACACTAAATGTAGCTTGGTGGATGAACGATCTGCTTACTTGTGGTATAAGCGTTTAGAACATATTTCCAAAGAAAGAATGCAAAGATTAGTAAAGAATAAAATCCTTCCAAATTTAGATTTTACATATCTGAATATATGTGTGGATTGTATTAAAGGCAAACAAACAAAACACACAAAGAAAAGAGTCACAAGAAACACTCACCTTCTTGAAATCATACACACTAATATATGTCATTTATTTGATGTAAATTCTTTCAATAAAGAGAAGTATTTCATCACCTTCATTGACGATTTATCGTGTTATGGATATGTTTATTAACTGCATGAGAAATCTCAAGAGTGAATGTCTTTGAAGTTTATATAAATGAAGTGGAAAGACAATTAGACAAAAATGTGAAAATTCTCAAGTCAGATAGAGGTGGTGAGTATTATGGAAGATATAATGAAAGTAGACAACATCCTGGTCTATTTGCTAAGTTCCTTGAGAAACGTGGTATTTGTGCTCAATACACAATGTTAGGAACACCACAACAAAATGATGTGTCCAAAAGGTGTAATCAAACCTTAATGGATATGGTTAGGAGCATGTTAAGTAATTCATTTTTACCTGTGTGCTTTGAAGATTGACATGTATTTGTTGAACAGGGTTCCTAGTAAAGTTGTTCAAAGACTCCTTTTGAGTTATGACAAGTAGGAAACCTAGTTTGATACATCTGCATGTTTGGGGTTGTCAGGTATAAGTAATAATGTATAATCCACAAGAAAAGAAACTGGATGTAAGAACAATCAGTGGATATTTCATTGGTTATCCGGAAAAATAAAAAAGGTATATGTTTATTATCCTAACCATAATACAAGAATTGTTGAAACTGGAAATGTTCATTTAATTGAGAATGGTGAAACTAATGGGACTGAAACTTCACGAAATGTGGAGATTAAGGAAGTTAGAGTACAAGTTTCTGTAACTAGTACTTCTTCTTCAAGAGTTGTTGTTCCACATGTTGTAGAATCACACGACAATCAAGAAGAAGAACAAATTAATGATCCTGAGATTAACAATGAGTTGATAGTAGAACAATCACATGAAATAGTTTTAAAGAGATCTCACAATTTATTTTGAATGATTGTGTGGTTTATCTACAAAAGTCAAAAAAATGACTTAAGTATTGATAATGACCCAGTTTCATTTTTCAGAAGCCATTAATGGTGATAATTCTGATAAGTGCTTAGATACTATGAAAGATGAGCTTAAATCAATGGCACAAAATGGCGTATGGAATTTTGTGGAATTGCCAAAAGGATGCAAGAGAGTTTGGTGTAAATGGGTCTTTAAGACTAAGTGTGACTCTCACAGTAATATCGAACATTACAAGGTTTGACTTGTTGTCAAAGGTTTTACTTAGAAAGATGGTATTGACTATAAGGAAACATTTTCACATGTTTCTAAGAAAGAATCTTTTAGAATTATCATGACATTAGCAACTCATTATCATCTTAAGTTGTATCAAATGGATGTTAAAATTGTCTTTCTGAATGGAGATTTAGAGGAGGATGTTCATATGGGCCAACCAGTGGGGTTTATTGAAGAAGGAAAGGAACACATGGTGTGTAAACTTAAGAAATCAATATATGGACTTAAATAAGCTTCTTGACAATGGTATCTTAAGTTCAATGATATTATTTTGTCCTTTGGATTTAAGGAAAACACTGATGATCAGTGTATATATCTAAAGGTCAGTGGGAGCAAGTTTATATTTCTGATTTTATAAGTTGATGATATCTTGCTTGTGGCTAATGATCTTGGTATATTAAGTGAAACTAAGAAATTTCTCTCTAACAACTTTGAAATGAAAGAGATATGGGTAAGGCATGTTATGTGATAGAAATAGAAATATTTCGTGATAGATCACAAGGACTATTAGGTTTGTCTCAGAAAACATATATTAATAAAGTTTTAAGAAGATTCAAAATGGATAAATGTTCAAGATCTCTCATTCCAATAAAGAAAGGAGACTAATTTAGTCTTATTCCAAAGAATTACTTGGAACGAAAACAGATGGAAAATATCCCTTTATACATTTGTTGTTAGGAGTTTGATGTATGCTCAAACATGTATGAGGTTAGATATTAGCTTAGCAGTTGATATGTTGAGTAGATACCAGATTAATCCTGGACTGGATCATTAGAAAGCTGTAAAAAATTCTAAAGATACTTACAAGGAACAAAGAATCACATGTTTACTTATAGGAAATATGATCATCTTAAGGTGATTAGATATACAGATTCAGATTTTTTTTTTGTCGGTTGTACGGATACACGAAAGTTTACATTTGGTTATATGTATCTTTTAGTTGAACGAGTGATTTCATGGAAAAATGTGAAGCAAACCGTCATTGTTGCATCCACAATAGAAGGTTAATTTGTGGCATCTTTTGATACCACAGTTCAGGCTAATTGGTTGCGGAATTTTATTTTAAGACTTGAAGTAGTCGACAACATTGTCAAGCCGCTGAAAATTTATTGTGATAATTTCACAACAGTCTTTTTTTCTAAGAACACAAGTATTCCAAAGGTGTTAAACATATAAAATTGAAATATTTTGTCGTTAGAGAAGAAGTTCAGAAACATAGAGTATTAATAGAACATATTAGCACTGATCTTATAATTGTTGACCCTTTAACAAAAGGGTTACTGCCCAAATTGTTTGTTGGCAATACAAGTATTATGGTTACTAGTGAATGTTGAATATTAATGTTACTATTAATACTTATGTGACACTTTGAGATCTTTAGTGTATAAGTTTTTGAAATTTGTATTTTCTTCTTTATTTATATGCATGCAAATTATGATGAAGAAAACAAATTATGTTATTATTATTGAAAATGATATTATGTTTGAACTCATTATGGACTTTTCACCTTAAAGTCATATTAAAGAGAAAGAGACAATACAAATCATACATGAAAGAAAACATGTCGATTGAATGACATGTAATTGTCATGACTTATTGTTATTGTATCTTTAATTATGAATAATAATATAACCAATTTATGTAAAGTATTATAATTTAAGTATTAAATCACATAATGATAAAATTAATTAATAAATAAATTCAATTATATGACTCATGTGAAATATAATGATAAACTCAAATATGATTTAATAAAATATAAGGACTTATTGATTATTATATAAAGTTATACTAAAAATAAAGATACAATAAATATAAAAATTTACTATAATCAATTTGATAAATATTTTTTAATAAAAAAGATTAGAGTTTTATTTTTTACTATAAAATTTTTTTCACTATAAATTATAAAAAAATGTGAGAGGAGAAAAAAATAAAAAGATAAATTACAAAAAGATTATAAAGAAAAAAAAGTTGAAAAACGTATTCGTATTATATCAATATTAGTCTTCTTGATTAATATATATTATCCTATAAGAATTATGAATCTAAAAATATGAATAATAGCTTTAGAAAATGAATTAAGAACTTAAAAAAAGTATAAATTAATTTACATTGTTAACCCGCCATCCACCAGCAATGATACAACTTCGCCTCCACAAAAGATCTATCTTCGTAGCATCTGGACTATAGGATCTTGGAACCCACAACTAGGTATTCTTCGTCTATCTCAATGGACACCTTATTTCAGTCAACATAACATTAATAAAGTTTTCCCAAATGTACAGGGATGCTGGGATGAAGCACGCGTCCTAGTGGGGGAAGTCAATATGTTGATAGACTTACCTTTTGAGCTTTTGGTGGAGAGAAAAAGGTCACGTCTTTTTTTTTTTTTTTTTGTAGATGGTTGAAAATGCCTCAGTTCAGTTCTTACTGCATAACACATTGGCCACTTTGACAGCCAATGCAGGAGAAAGGAGGGACCAATGGACAAAGGAAAAAAAAAACTCTATTTAATTATTTTATTTTTGTTTTAATTATCAGTTTGGCAAATTTTTTTATACTAGTCGTTTAATTTAAATTAGTTTTATAAGATTTAATAAGAGAAATATTTTCTTTTGTTTTTTAGTTAAATAAGGACAAAAGAATAAAAGAAAATAATTGAAGGGTACCCAATTATTCCATGGTTGATAAAAAAGTGTGGGAAACTGTGGGAGAGACAGAGAGGAAGTTGAAGAGATTATTTGTCTTGAAATTTGCATTTTTTTTTTTTTTTTGAGATAGTTATATTGGTTGGAGATTTTGATAATACCATTTGAGATTCATGCAATGGTATAATCTTTTTATCTATTATTAAGAGTTTATGTTATTTCCTTTTTGCTCAATTTTTTTTACTATTATGGTCAATTTGTCACTAAATTGGGAATTTATGTTTTTGTCGGGAAACTAACATGAATTAAGATTTGGGTAATTGATTAATATTTTATTTTGCTCTAACTGATAATAAAGATACATTGTAACAAATAAATAAGTTCTTCTCAAAAAAATTCAAAGCACATGAATGAGATATTTGTCATAAACATTACTTACTAGATGATTGAAAATGTATTTTCTGAGACTTTGTTTCAATTTATGACTAAAACAAAAGTCAAAATCAAAGTAAGTAAATCAATGCAATTATTAAGAAAAAAGAAAATAGTAATTAATCACTTTAATATTGAGTTGATGGTTTTTAAGCATTTGATAAAGCCACGAGAATTTGAGCCTCATGATGTATAATCAATATAAGTTACATTTATTTCAATAAGAAAACTCTTATTAATTTGATATTTCTATTCTTTTTAAGTGCTTGGTTTGACATAAAAAAAAACATAATTTATTTATTAAAGTTACAAACTTATAATATATATATATATATATATATATATATATATATATATATTATGATACATTAAAATATAAATTCATATTTAAAGAATTTATCACCATAATTTATATATTTATTTTTTTTGTGATTCATAATGACTTTTTTATAATATTATTCATTATAAATATAGAAATTAAATTGAAAGATAAAATTATTTTAAGTTCGTTTCATGATTGTAATTTTATTTTTTAAACGTGACATCTTTTATTTATAATTTATGAATATTTTTTTGTATGTTTATTTTTAATGCATATATAAACTAAAAAAAAAGAATAAAACTTTGGCAAATGGGGCATTCCGAGAATTGAACTCGGGACCTCTCGCACCCTAAGCGAGAATCATACCACTAGACCAAATACCCACTTTTATTAATGTTTAACCAAATTTATTATCTTTAATAATAAACAAAGGATATTTGCTGAATCAAGTGTTGGTAAATTATTGTACCAAATATTGAAGAGAATATTTTGAATGTTACAAATTTTTATATATCTTATTTATAAATATAAGAAAATTATTATATATAATTAATCATGTTTAGAATCCAAAGGTACTTTATTAATTTTTTTTACTTATCTAATATTTTTTTAAGAATAATCATCAATTATAATTGACTCTTATCGTAATAATAAAAAATGTAATGTAGCTTTTGTTTCATAAACTTTGTAAATTATTTTTCTGCTAACTAAATTGAAAATTTATCTCTCAAAACATTTGAGTAGACACTTTGAGAAGATCTAGTATTGACGAATTAAAAGAAGGTTAATATTCTACGGAACAAGTAATAATATTTTAAATATGGATTATTAAATTTTAAAAGATACTTCACATTTATATATTTGTATTTTAAAGAAGGTTTATTATAAAATTAAAAATAGAAGTTTAATGCACTCTTATTTTTTAATTTTTTATTAAAGTTATATTCCGGTATAAATATATTATCTAGGAATGAAGATAATCTATAAACAAATTATTTTTTTAATCCAATAAAATATTTTCTAAAAATAAAATTTGGACGGATTATAATTTGAAAGACGAACCTTAACCCTCTAATTTTTATCCTAAACAAATTTTATTGATTAGTGCACCTAACCGGGGGGTAAGATAAATTTTTTCAATAAAAACAATTACAAATTTTGATATATTTTAATTATAAATAAAAAAAGTATATAATTAATTGGATAAAATTTAGTTTTTTAATTAAAATACTAATTTGTTTACTGGTAAATAAATTTTGGACTAAACAAAACACTGGATCTTAGAAACGGTCGGACCATAGGTTACCTTGGGCGTGAAACGCACTGTAAGCCCTTCAGGGTTCTTTTTCTTCGCTGTCACTGTTTCTGCTCTTAGAAATGGCAAGAACCGCTCTCCTTCACTTGCTGCGGTCACAGAGCTACCGCCATGTCTCCAGAATTACACCTTCAGGTTCTCTTTCTTTCACCACCTCTGTCTTTCTCAACGTTACCATTCACACCAACTCCAAAAGTGTTAAACATTACACGATCTCTTTGTGGGTTCTTAATTTTTGTGGCATCCCTTGAACCGGGCTATTATGGGCACCATAAAGATCTTACTTTCAATCTGATGATTATAATTTTTCCATTTTTTATCGAATGAAAGTGAAACTTTGCTTCAAATTCTATTATGTTAGTTTTGTGAAGCATGCTAAATTTCAATTTTTAGTTTATTGCGCCATTCACAGATCTAGAGGTGTTTAACACCTGAGTTGCTTGATTTTGAGCCTTAAATTTAATGGAACTGGAACCAAACTCATCTCCAGTGGTTCTAAACTTTGGAAAGCAAAGTGAGTCGGTGTGATAAATACTGGTTCAGGATGAAAATAGATGAAGAAATATGAATTGTGAATTAGGGTTTGTTTGGATAAACTTCTTCCTAACCTAATATTAATTTATGCAAAATATTAATATATGCAAAAGTTTAAAATCATGTATTGGAAAGAGAGGTGAATTTAGGCCTTTGAGAGACCCTTGCCTCTATCTACTCTCATTGATGTCAATCCTTTATCAAATGAATTATCCTCTCCCCAAGACTATTTTATTTTCACGTTTGATATCCTGCCCTTTCTAACAGCTTAAGGCCAATCTACTGAGAAATTGTTACTGACTAACAAGGGTACAAGGTTATCTGACACCTTTGATCTTATGGAACTGGCTCAGTTCAATCATTTGATCTGGTTTGTTTTATTTCCCGGCCATTATTGATCATGTTTTCAGTTCTTGCCAAATGCTAATACTGTATTAGCTATAGCAAAACCCATCAAATGATGCAATGTGTACCTAGTAGTAGAAATAAACTACTTCATACATAACTCCAAATCAGGATCCAAGAAATACCTAGAAACACCCTACCAATATGATCACCCTGTAATGAATTCAATGGTCCCTTCACGTATTGCTCTCTTGAGGAAACATATCCCTATATAATTTTTCATATGCACTTTAGAAATTCGTAGTTCATTTTCCATCCTAGTCTTGTAATGCTTGTAGCTCCTCCCCCTGAATCAGTAGTTTGAATTGTTTTATGTAAAATGATTCTTATTCAGCAAAACTAAATTGGTTATGTTCTTAATTGTATATATTCCTTAGATGTTGCTGATTGCATCTGGTTAGAATCTCATGCCTTTTTTTCATATTTATTATTGTAGCAAAACAATGTACCTATTATTTTTACTTGTATACATTTGTTTCCATGGTTCAGCATACCAATGTTTTAGGTCCTCAACCTTTGGACGGCCCAATAGTGTCAACCCATCATTCAAAATTCCCTCTCATCTTGGTGTTTTCCAAAGAAGATGGGCATCACCAGCCCCAGCCACAGAGGAAGACGACAAGATTAGCATCGGACCTCGTGATGGGGGACAATCAGGGGAAGCCGACAAGGAAACTGGAGTTGTTTATTACGGCCCTATTTCAAACACCATAAAGAAAGTAAAACTTCTATCTCTCTCAACTTGCTGCCTCTCGGTGTCGCTCGGTCCAGTCATAACCTTTATGACATCCCCTGACATGAATGTCATCCTGAAAGGTGCAGTGGCATCATCTGTGATATTCCTGAGTGCCTCTACAACTGCTGCCCTTCACTGGTTCGTTAGCCCCTACATTCACAAACTCAGGTGGCAGCCAGGTTCAGACAGCTTCGAGGTGGATATGCTGTCCTGGCTGGCAACTTCCATTCCAAAGACTATCAAATTTTCTGATATTCGACCACCGGAAACCAATAGGCCTTTTGTGACGTTTAAGGCCAATGGAAACTTTTACTTTGTGGACGCCGAGCACTGTCACAATAAGGCACTTCTGGCTAGACTCACCCCAAAAAAAGTGACTCATGATTCACCATTCAAAAACTTGTGATCTGAAACTCACTGTTGTGAACTCAGGTATTTTACAGTTAACATTGCAAGCGTAAGTTTAGAGCCCTGCATTAATTTCAGTCTGCTCATGGAATTTGTTTTACACTCTTGAGATTTGATCTCTTGTTCTGATGCCATTAACTGTAAGGTCTGCTGAATAAATTAGGCAGTGGTATTTTGCAAACATCATATATAGTGAGTATTTTATACAAATTCTGGATTTTTTGCAAGTTTTTTGTCAAAATTAATAATGTTATTCCTTTTCTTTATTTTTTTGTTTTTTATTTTCTGTGCTTATACGTGTCTGTTATGCATATCCGTGTGATCATACATGAATGGTAAAAATTGTCTTTTATTTTTTTCGTGAACATAGTCCATACAGATTCCAAAACTGGCAACCAAGACTAACTTATTTGGATTTCTTTGTTAACACATCTCTGATTTGCAATGCTTCTGTCACTGTCTTTATATATATATATATATATGTATGTTTGATGCGTCAACAGCTAACTTGTAAATTATATTCTTTCCTACCTATTCTCTTGGATTAGTTGAAATCACCGTTTCAAAAACCGAACTAGGGTCTAGTTCAACACTACATTAGAAATCGATTTGTAAATCAGAAACAAAACCAAAAAAATCGGGAAAATCAGGTGGAATTGATTTTGGTAAAAAAAAAATTAAGATTAAATTTTAATATAATTTTTTATAAAAGATATAATACATTTTAATTTTTTTATCTCATATTAGTTTAATTAACTTTAAATAACTTGTAGTGGAATTTATGATAAAAATATTTATTTAGTTTTATGAAAAAGTATTATTATTAATAAATTTATTATATTATAATAATATTATTTTATTAAATTTGATTGTGGATTTTTTATCTTCACTTATTTGATGAGACTCATTTTAAAAAATTGGTTGAAATTAATGTGGATTTCATTAGTTTGAGAATGGAACCTCCATTTTAATGGGAATTACATGTTTGTCTAATAAGAGGTGTACAGAAGAGTATTAGAAGTGCTATTAGGCTGGGTGAAAGTGATATGGTGTTTTTTGTTGTCATAATGGATGCTTTGACTTCACAGGTTTAAATATGAAAAATTGATAGTTTAACTTATTTTATATTTTAAATAAGTTATAATATTTAGTTTAATATGATTTTATGATAAGTTAATGGATTAATGAATGAAATTTAGTGTGATTAAAAATTAAAAAATATTTAAATAAAAAATAAAAAAATATATTTTTAAAATTGAAATTATATTAATAAAATTAATTTTTATTTAATAATTTAATATATATATATATATATATATATATATAAATTATAAGAGAATATTTATTTAATTTTAAAATAAGATGAACAAATTTATTTTTCATTATCATTATTTATTTTTAAATGATTTATTAATCTAAAATAATAATTAATATTAATTATTAAATTTTAAAATAAGTGATTATTATATATTTATTTTAATATTTATTTTTAAATAAAGTAAATTTGTATTAAATTAATTTATAATATATATATAAGTATTATTTTTATTTTAAAAATTATTATTATTTTATAAAATAGATGAATTTATAAATTTACATACTTAAATTGATCAAAATATAATTGGGTGAATTTAAGTTACAAATTGACTTATTTCTCATTGACCTCTGACATGTAACATTAAATCTATTTTCATACCTTATTTAACTAGCAAAAAAACAAAGAATACTGGATTTGAGATTAAAAAGACTTACGCGATTTTATTCGTATTCGCATTGCATTAATTTAAACTCACACCACATGTGTTGATAGACTCGATCTTGTTCAAAGGTTATATTTAGATGGAGTATTTGTAAAACGCACTTCAAAAAAATTAATGACGGATCGATATTACAATTTTTTTAATTTTTTTTTCAACTATACGAACGGAACCAATCAAACGTTTATACGATTAATTTATTAATTTAATTAATATATGAATATCATTTGAAATAATCTTCAAAGATTTGTGTTACTTTTCCTTATTTTTGTTTTTTTAACCTGATAAATCACTAACTCAGTTAAATTAGATTTAAACTACATTTTTGTTTAAGAAACATATAAGATGAGATGGTTGATTCATCAAAAGGAAATCATTTATCAGAGAAAAGGAAATTAGGGAAACTGCTGTTATGATCCTAAAATCTACCTTACGCGAACGTTGATTGGTGATTTGTGAATCTCATAATTTTCCGTGGAGTTTCGTCCTAATATTTTTTCACTTTGTCATGTAAATTGGTAAATCGACAATATTCTTTTAGCAGAGAGGACTTTAACATTTCAAATCAGAATAATATAATTAATATATATATATATATATATATATATATTTCTCGTAAATAAAATGTACATAAAAAAATTAATTTTTATTTTATTTATTAAAATAATTATCCATATAAACTACAATGTATTTATCTTATTTTTCTTTTACCGCAATCTAAAATTAATTATATCAGAAAAAAAATAGAGAGAGAAAAAAGAACTTAGACATGAAATATATGAAAATTTGAATATGATAGCTTTGATATATAATATTTTTTATCTTATCTTTTAAATAAATTGCTATTATTATATATGTATAATTGTTTAATATTTTTAAAATTATTTTATTATTTAAACATCATATTAACATATTTTTATATTACATTATTTATATATAATATCAATATTTTTATTATGTTTTTAGTATTACCTTATTTATTATATTATTATTATTTTATTATATGATATAAGTACTTTGATATGTTATAAATCTTTTATCTAATTTTAGGTATTATATTCCTTTTCAATTTTAAGGTATATAAATTCATATTTTCATATTATAAACTTTTACTAAAACCTTAGGTATCTCTTATCCAACCTTAGTATTATTCCCCTATATTCCTTCAATTTCAATGATAAAAATAAAAATTCTAATCACAGGTATTATTATTCTCTTGATAAAATAAAATCATTAATGATTTTTGAAATACTTTTTATTCATTATTTTTGCTAATTAAAAATCCTTTTTAATATATCTTATTTTTGTTAATTATTAATATACATTAATTTTAATTAATAAATTATTTACTATCATGAATCAGAGTTGCGTTTTTTTATAAAAATGTAACAACCAACATAATAACTATATAAAATATTTTAGAAATAATTATGCAATATTCTAATAGTAAAAACCTTTAAAAACCTTTCTGACACTTTCTGCTAGTCAACTCATAAAACGTAAAGTTGATTTTATGACGAGTGTGGTTCCTGGATGAACGTGGATCCACCGCGGTTTTCCATCAACATAGACTTCAAAAGAATGTAGTTTTCAACTATGCGTTATGAAAACGTTGTTTTTTTATCGGAATTTCAACTTTACGTTATAAAATAAATTTTAAAAAACAATTATTAATGAGTTCGAATTACACACAAAAAATTGAAATACACTGGGCAAAAAATTTAGTGACTCAATAAAAAATATATTGGACAGTAATTTTAATAGAAAAATGGAATAACTAGTTCGGTAAAATAATGTTCTCCATAAAATACTTGCACATTACCATCGATTCTCTATTATAAAAATGACACAAAGTATACCATCTTTCAATAAAATTAATTCACTATGAAAAATTCTTAGAATTTGCAAGATAAAAGACAAACATAATATTATAATAAAAATTGAAGCCAGTACTTTAAAACACAAATATAAGTTAATATTTAAAAGACAAACAAATACTCAACAGATCGACTTAAAACACAAATATAAAGTTGATATTAAAATGCAGACAAAGAGCGCAGCAAAGCTGTAAAACTTACTGCGCTTACAAAAATGTAATCAGGGGTCCTCACAAACACAAAAACACATTAAAACACATAATAATTGTAAAAGAGCCGCCACCGTCGATCAAGAACCCAATTCTGGGAACAAAAGTTGGGAGATGATGGTGGAAACTTCAAACTAAGTACCAAAAACAAACTACCTAGTGATGACACAAGAGTACAAGCAAGAAACCAGCATTTATTGTAACCATCCCCTGATGAACCACCCCGCACGATTCACTTCTTCTTCTGAGCAGCCTTGGTGACCTTGGCTCCACTGGGATCCTTCTTCTCCACGTTCTTGATGACTCCCACAGCAACAGTTTGACGCATGTCCCTCACAGCAAATCGACCAAGTGGGGGATACTCAGAGAATGTTTCAACCACCATAGGTTTGGTTGGAATCATCTTCACGAAACCAGCATCACCATTCTTCAAGAACTTAGGCTCCTTCTCGAGCTCTTTGCCAGATCGCCTGTCAATCTTGGTCATGAGTTCAGCAAACTTGACAGCAATGTGGGAGGTGTGGCAGTCGAGAACAGGGGCATAACCGTTTCCAATCTGACCAGGGTGGTTCATGATGATAACCTGGGATGTGAAGTTAGCAGCCTCCTTTGCAGGATCATCCTTGGAGTTTGAGGCAACATAACCACGCTTCAGATCCTTAACAGCAACATTCTTAACATTGAATCCCACGTTGTCACCAGGGAGAGCCTCGGTGAGTGCTTCATGGTGCATCTCCACGGACTTAACTTCAGTTGTCAATCCAGTTGGTGCAAAAGTCACAACCATTCCTGGTTTGATGACACCAGTCTCAACACGCCCCACAGGTACAGTTCCGATTCCTCCAATCTTGTAGACATCCTGAAGGGGAAGCCTGAGAGGCTTGTCAGATGGCCTCTTGGGCTCAGTGATCTGGTCAAGTGCCTCAAGCAAGGTAGGTCCCTTGTACCAGTCGAGGTTTGTGGACCTCTCAATCATGTTATCTCCCTCGAAACCAGAAATTGGAACAAAAGGAATCTTGTCAGGGTTGTATCCCACTTTCTTCAGGTAGGAAGAGACTTCCTTCACAATTTCATCATATCTGGCCTTGGAGTACTTAGGGGTAGTAGCATCCATCTGTTTCATAAAAAGACAAGAGGATTAACTAAAATAAATCAATCTTAAAAGCAATCCATATTATATACATAGAGGACACATTAATTAAGGACTAAAAATCTGAAACATCATTTACCTTGTTACAGCAACAGATCATCTGCTTCACACCAAGAGTGAATGACAGAAGAGCATGTTCACGAGTCTGTCCATCCTTAGAAATACCAGCTTCAAAACCACCAGTAGTGGAATCAATGATAAGGACAGCACAGTCAGCTTGGGATGTCCCGGTAATCATATTCTTAATGAAATCCCTGTGTCCGGGAGCATCAATGACTGTGCAGTAGTACCTGGTAGTCTCAAACTTCCACAAGGCAATATCAATTGTGATTCCTCTTTCACGCTCAGCCTTGAGCTTATCAAGCACCCAGGCATACTTGAATGACCTCTTGTTCATCTCAGCAGCTTCCTTCTCGAATCTCTCAATCACACGCTTGTCAATGCCTCCAAGCTTGTAGATCAGATGACCAGTGGTAGTGGACTTCCCAGAGTCGACATGGCCAATGACCACAATACTGATGTGAACCTTTTCCTTACCCATAACTGCGTTTTAATTATCTGCAAAAAAACAACAATAAAAAAATATTCAAAAGTCACATAAAGGAGTTGAACTTTCACATTTACATAATAAAACATGAAAATTAATAGGGTTATATCTAAAAATCCATCACACAACATGCTGAAAAATAGACATGCTCAATTAAAGCATCACAGCAGCAATAAAAAAATAAACACTATTCAAATTAGGGTAGACAGGTCAAAAATCAAGATTCACCAGATTCACAGGCACATGCAATCAAAGATTCAAGACAACTACATAATTAGCATGTAATCACATAAATATTCAACCAGACCTGGTAAAATCCATGACTTAAAATCGATTGAAATGAATAGTTTATAGATCTATTCGGTCGTAATAAAAAAACATTTCTTAAACCAAAAATAAAACATTAACCAGATCTGGATCCACGGATTTGCATATAACAAACACACAAATCTTACAAATTAAATCAAATCGATTATGATTAACTCGTATAAAGGCACAAAAATGAATTAAAAATCATTTGTTGAAAACATTTTGCCAATTGTAACCAACACCTTCAACAAAAATCCAAAGAAACAACCAATTCATATTGAAAACAAAGAACTAATCAATTAAAAATATGGAAAGATAGAAGACAGAAGCAATAGATACAGAAATCACAAGCTGGAGATAACAGAATCAAATGGAAAACGAATGAATCTGAGGATTAAAACTCATAAAACGGTGGATGAGACCGTACCTAGAAGAAGCTGCGCTAAAACCCTAGCCGCAAGAGAATGCGAACAATATGGTGAAGAGAAGTGAGGAAACGAGGGTTAGAGGGTTTATTTATAGGCTACAACTTTTTTCCCCTATTGACGAAAATACCCTTAATATTTTATATAATTCCCTTTGTGTCCTTTCTGCTTTCGCTGGCGGTCCTAGAATGTCGTGACGAAACCCTGGGGAACGCGGGTTCAATTATGCGGCTAGTAAAACGACGCCGTACAGTATAGTTGGTTGATATTTCCCAACTCAAACAACTCTTTATAGTTGGTTGATATTTCCCTAGACACGTTGGATTTCTCATTTTTAGGGCATGTATTAAATGAACATTTATTTTATTTTTAATTTTGAAGGTATAGATTAGTTTTAAAAATAATTGTGTATATATTATAATGATTTAAAAATATTGTTGTTTATTATTTTCAAATATAAACTGATTTTGTCAATTTTTTTAATTTTGCCAACTCATGATTTTATTAAAAATTGTGAACTTATTTGGTTAAAAATTTATGAAAGTAATAAAGATAAATAAACTGAATTGGAATTTAATTCAATTATAATTCAAAAATATATAAAAATCTCTCTTATGAATTATGTTTATAATTTGAACGAAAATGTAATTCATTTTAATTTTCCTAAATATAAATATAACGTAATTCATCCCAATTTTTATAAATATACAATATTTTTTTCTTTCTTTCCTTATATTAACTTTTTTTTCATTTTTATTTGGAAATATTTCTTTTTAAGAATCTTCATAGTCCATTTTATACAATTATAATGAATTAAAATTTTATAATAGTTTTTTTTATACAATTGAGTAATTATTTTTTAATAAATAGTTCAATTCATTTAAGTATTTTTATTTTACTATATTATTATAAATATTTTTAAAACAAATAAGATTTAATTAATATTATTATATTTACTGTTAAAATGTATGCCAACCATAAGAAAAAATCAGTGAAGTATTTATTATTTGATACTTTTATGTTATTATTTAATTTTAGAATTATAAAATTAAAATTAATTATTAAAACTATATAAATAGTATTAATTTCAGAATGTTTAATTTAATTAGTAAAATTTAATTTGTAATTATATTCAATGATTTTTGTGAAGATTTTCAAATATATTTGTTTAAATTATTTTTAGAAAAAATATTTTATTTTAATAAATTATGATTTATTAATATGTTTGAGTAAATTTATTTTAAAAACTAAAAAAAAATTAAATAAATAACTTGGAATCACTTTCCATAAAAAAATCAGATGTAGGGAACTAATTACTTTTAAAACATACAATTTTATATACAAATTTTTTTAAAATAAAATCACTATAATTTGTTTAAGTATAATAAACATACCCATAGATACATAATGATAAATAATGTGTTTTATAATATGAATATAGTTTTCCCGAAAAATAATATGGTAAAAACTTTGCTAAGAAATTATAATATAAAAAAAAATATCAACTTAACTCCATTCTTTATTAATTATTTTATTACAATTTATTGTGGAAATATTGTTCTTTATTTGATTTGAATTAAAAGAATAAGAAAAAATATTATAACAAATATAATGAAATCTAATGAGATCTTATTAATCAACTATAAATCAATATATAAAATATCATTTAATTCAAACAAACCTAATCAAATTTGTTGCGATCCTATCTAATCAAATATAAATTAATTTAAACGAAATTTATAACATATTATTTAGGAGAAAAAAATCTCATTTATTATGAATTTAATCAAATTTAAACTAATTCTCTAATAGTTTTCTTAGAAGTTTAATCAATCCTTTTTATCATTCTTTAAGAAAAAAAATTAGGAACAAAAATATTTAAATATTAGCAGAACGAAAATTACACTTGTGTGCAGCATTCCTATTATACTATCATATTTTTATTAAACTAAAATACATTATAATAGTTTCTCTTATTATGGTATGGATGCATGCATTCATTGTAGTTCCTTTATCCATGAGTCTTTTGACTTCATATTTTAGATATTTTTTAATTTCTCATAATATTAATATATCTTTACTTATATTTTAAATTAATTATATGATAATATTTCATATACTTTTTTATATAAAATTCTGATTTGTTTCTTCTTAAAAGGAGATGATGGTTCACCAGTATTAATATATAAGTTCTTAAATTTTAAATGAGCTTATTTTATAGGTATATGATCAAAGAAATTGCTTTTTAAAAGAAAAAGTGTAACTTTCATAGAAATTATTATTACATAAAATATTATGCCTTTATTCATTCTAGATAATAAACAGGTTTGGGTGGGTTTTGTCTCTCTAAATCATTCTTTAATTTTTTTAATTATTCTCACTTTTACTCGCAATTTAGGTTGGGATTAGAAATTTATTTTTATTAGATTTTGTGTTTTATTTGTTTTTGATATGTTCTTATTCTATATTATTTTTTAAATTAATTATATTTATAATAAATGAATTTTAATATTTTTATATATAAATAAAATTTATATTTTATAATTTTTAATTATTATTAATTAGATTATATATATATATATATTATTTTATTATATTTATTTTAAAGTATGTTGTAAAAAAATATTTAGTCATTTTTTTAGAATATTTATATCATATAAAATACTTATATTATAAAATACTTATATATTATTATTATTATTATCATATATATATATATATATATATATATATATATATTTTATATATATATATATATATATATATTTTAAGACATTTGATTACAGAATATATATATATATATATATATAATAACTTTATAAATTATTATTTTAAAATAATAATAAATGTAAAATATATAATATATAAGAAAATATTTAATAATTTAATTATTATTTAATTAGTCTAAAAATAGAAGTTTCAATTATCAATTATTTTAATTTTTTAAAATATAATTTATTTTATTAAAATAAAATTTGATAGTATGATAAATAAAAATAATAAAATTCAAAAAATATTACATAATAAAATATAATAAAGATAATTAAAATAAAATAATATTAGTTACTATTAAGATTGATATAGAATATTTAGAAAAAGATAAAAAAATGTGTTTGTCGATTTAGTTAAAAAAAAAAACAAATTGATTTAATAGATTAATAAAGTGTGAAGAAACGAAATACAAGATAAAAAGAATAATGTGATGAACAAAATTATCTAAGTGATTAGAAAAGACAAAATAATAAAAAATTGGTAGAAAACAAAGTAAAGAAGGCAAAATATAGAAAATGACCTTATAATAATGTGAGAAATAACAAAATATTTAAAAAAGATTAATCTTTTATTATTTAAATATAAATATAAAGTCAGTGGTGGGGAAAATGATCAGGTTAAAATGTGGATTACATTATTTATCCCCTCTCATCTATCCGACTTTTTAAAGCAGGAAAAACTCGTTTCTGTCCCTGGTTAACTTAAGTTTTCTTTGTAAAACTTGGGGACGGATTGATCTTTACGGGTATGGGTTTCATTGTCATTCGTATAAGGATCATGCATCATGTTTATTAAGTATTTATATAGTATTTCTATTACAACTATATCTTAAACTAAACTTGTTGTCTATATATAGTCTTACATTATCATAATAGTCAAGTCATATAAATAATAAAATAAGGGTAGATATTCAAATAACAATTATCTATTAAATCTACTATTTGTTATAATATTACACTATTACATCTCATCATGTTATACATATCATATTACATCTTATTCATAGAAATATCTTTCAAAAGATTGATACTATATTTTAAATGTAGAAATTAATATTTGCAAGTCCTGTTGTCACTAATACTATACTAGATACTCTTTAACTACGAATATCATGTTAGTTTTTCTACGTATAAAGTAAGGTTACTGACAATACTATTCATGCATCTCTCTTGTAATCTCAAGACAAGTTATCACTAATTCTCCCATAGACTCCTCACGTAATGATATATCTTAGTCAACTTGATTGAGTTATCGGTAGAACCTGAGATTTCGTTGAATCTGCATAAACATAATGATCACACCAACACTACAAATACCTCATTGGGTACTTGTAACCACATATACATCAGTCAATTATAAATCATATATCTAACTCGACTTAGTCTCATATACATAGGTATACATAGATTAATTATAAGTCACTTTCACAACTTGACTAAGTTGCAACATATATATATTAACATACGTAACATGTAACACCATATTATATTATAATTTATCACATCTGTCATTTTCTTATATTTATATAAAAAGTTTGGTTTATTTTGACTATTCCTTTTCAAAACTTATTATTATTTAAAATTATAACTAATTATCATTGTCAAAATATTCATGAATCTTAACTTTCTCATGCAATCTATGAAGAATACTTCGATTTCAAAACCTAGACAACAACTCAAAATAATTAAGATATATCTATAGATTTCCTCTTAACTTCATAAATAACCAAAACAATAAAATAAAAAATAAAAAGCTTACGTTAAACATATTTTCTTATTGTTAGTTTAGTTTTCTCATATTAGTTTTAAATTTAAAATCCCACAAAATTTCAATATATAAGTTTATAAAGAATTTAGAGAATTCGATGAATATTTATAAATCTATTCAACTTACTCTTTTATTTATAAAGTTTTTTTTAATTAGTTAAAACTATTTTTATATTTAAAAAAAGTTTTAAAAAAACTCCTCAATGTTTTAATCAAAATTTTATATTTAAAACTACGACAATGCGACACTTTTTATGGTGAAACGAACATGTTAGTTATATAAATTATTTGGTTATAAATTATATTATGTATAAATTAAAATTATCAATGTTAATTTATTAATATAATAAGACACTTGATTCAATATTGTTAATAGTGAGTCAAATTAAAAAATAATGAGAATAAAATGGTTGTTTGGGTGCAATGATACCATGCAATCGTGTTTGGATTTAGTTAGTTTTATAAGTGTTTGTGAAACCATTGGTATTTTTGTCATATATTTTTAAAGTTGTTGGTTATTTTTAAATGGGTATTCTTTCGAAGTTTAAATTTTTTAATATATATTAAAAAGATATAAGAATGAGAGATAAATTATGTTTTGAAAAACACTTAATTTTTAAAAGTAAATAGACTTTACAAATTAAAAAAACTTTATGTTTTATAACCAAAGAGTTTTTTTGAAAGACAAAAATACATATTAAAGGTGCACACAAATTTTATACTAGTTTGTCTCAATCAATGAAATTACATTGATTTTTTTTTCTTTCAAATTCCAATTGCTAATCCGATTCTCTTCATCTAAATCTTGATTTTGTTAATGGTTATCTCACTGACTCACACTCTTTTGTATAATTAGATTTTTAAATATATATATATATATATATATATATATATATATATATATTTTTTTTTTTTTTTTTTTTTAACCCTAAACCCTAATCTTGTTTCTTCTTCCTCATCCCTCGCGTTCTCCCCTTGTCACCTCGTCACACTGCCTCACGCTCTCCTCGAAGTCACCTCGTCGCCGCCGCGTGGCGTCTCCTAGCCGCTGCGCTCGGCCTGCACCTCGAAGCACAGGTAGGGTTTTCTCCTTCTCACCTGTTTGCAGCTTCCAACTGTAACAAAATTATCATTTTTAATCCTTAACTATGAGCATCTATGGGTTTCGTTGTTCTTTCTCTCTCGTTAAACTTTAAATGAGAATTAATTCCAGTCCTTTAACACATAGATTTGCATGATTTTGAACTTCTGCTAATCCGTTTACTTACTTGAACTATGCTGCAACCTTCTGCGATTCTCTTGTTGGCAAAATATTCTTTATGCAGCCTTCTCATGTGCAAACATACGAGGCATGGCAAAGTTGACTTAGAAATATAACAATTCTATCTTCGGCCTTTTTCAGCGATAAAGTCTTTTGTGTGTTTTTAATCTGGTTTGAATCCTTTTTGAATTTTGAAATTTTGTGTCTAGAATCTCTGTTAATATTTCTATCCAATGGGAAAGTTGGGGAAGAAGGCAAGGAAGTTTGCAAAAAAGAATTTGCAGTCTGTTTTGAGGAACAAAAGGAAGTTAAATTCCAAGTTCAAAAGGAAAGCTTCAAAGAGTAAGGATTTTGCACCATAACAAATATAATGATCTGTTTATTATATGGCACTTGTTCTTTACTGTCTTTCTAAATGCTTTAACATACTTCAGTTTATTCCTACTTGCTGATTATTGGTTAGAATTTTTTGTTATAATTTATTTAGTGGTTATAATATTGTCTGGGAATGCAGTTTTCTTGTATACCAGGTTGGCATCTGTGTGGGTGGATACAATATATTCTATAAATTATGGAAAATACCCCCTAAATTATGGGTAAGATGTTTACTCATAAGTTTGAATTTTTCGTTTTCTGGAAAATTTGTCTGCTACAGGATATAGTCAGGATATTGAAGAAAACCTAGAGAATGATACATCAAATCCATCAGTTGGAAGGTAAAATGATAACCGAATCAATTATCTGTTGAATTTATTCACTTATCCACCTTGTTTCTATTTCTACTATACCAATTCTGATGTTATTGTTTTCAAATAATCTTTTCCTTTTATTTGGTAAATTTTGAACTATGTGGGTGCTGCTGACCAAAGCATTGTTTTTAAAGTAATTGAAAATTCTATAAACACTAGAAATTCTAATCAATGCAACTGATTGATGCTGTCTTAATCTGATAGAGGAACCATGTCATCAACAAGAAAGAGGAAAATTCAGAAAGAGCAAATGCTCGCAACCAAGTGAAATCCCTATGGCCCCAAGAAACTGAATTTGAAAACATGCCCTGAATTGCCTATAAAAAGAATTATTCTATCTCTCCTCTTACCAACTTTCTCTCTCATTTCTTAGTTACAAATAAGTCCCTCTCCCAAATGGAGAATTGGCCCACATAAGCAGATCAGTGGCTTTCATAATCCAAAGGGGTTTACTATAATCAAATTCTTGGAGGAATAATTGCAGATGACTCTACATGTTTCTGTACTAATAACTAACTGTTTTTTTTTTTTTTTAATTGTCAGAAATATAGTTGAAGAATTTCAAGACACTTCTCTTGATGCTCTATTCAGTGAAGATGACAGTGAGGTGCTTGGAGATAATTCGGACAGTGATGGATTTCTTTCAGAGGTTTAAATTATAATTTATTGCTTAAACTCTTGTTATTTTTTTTTTTTTTTTTTTAATTTATTTATTTGCCTTAGATATTGTATGTTTGATGTATTGATTTCTTGAGTTTGTGCTCAGGACTCAAGCTTTTCACATGTTTCAGGAAGCGACAGTGAAAATGAAAATTATATTGGGAGTAAGGATATTTCTAGCTTTTCAGTTTAAACGATTTTCCCTGTTCACTTGTGTGTTTCATTTAAACCTTAGGCAGTTTTTTTTTTTTTTTTTTTTTTTCAGATAGCAATGGTGCTAGTTCCTTATCGGTGCAAAACAAAGATATTTGTGCTGAACTTCTAAAAAAATCAAAGAAGTTGAACAAATTGAAAGAAAAGGTGGTTTGCTTATGTCTGATGGTTTTATGATGGATTTCTCTATTTAAATTTGATTTTCTGTTAAATGGAGAGAGGTTCATTGTTCCAAAATTTCATATGATGCATACATTTTTATTTGATTGTACTTATTTTGAACAATTATGCCATGATTATGTCCTTTTTTTCCTTTTACTGTAAAAAAACATATTTGATAGAAATGACGGTACAAATAAAATTAGGTTAAGAATACACAAATATAGGAAAAAGGTTAAACAACAGTGAACTAGTCTAACAGTAACATGGAGCACTTTGTGTTTGATGTCAAACCTGAAACATTTGCTTTTCTGCTCTACTCGAGTCTTATCTAGTTTTGTAACGTAGTTGATACAGGCAATAGTTTATTTCTTACAGTAAATTGTGGTCTTGTTAGCACTGCAAGAGCTAAAGTTGTTACTATTTTCAACGAATTTGGATTTGTATGTTTTGGTTCTGAATTTCATGCAGTAGCACATTATACTATTTTACATTTTTTTATCTTGTTTGCTTCAAACAAATGAAGTATTTGCATTTGTTTTCTTCCATTCAATATTTGTTGGTCAAATATCTAACTTTGCCTTTTGAAATCTTCAGGACCCTAGGTTTTCTAAATTTCTACAACGTTATGATATGAAGATTGAACAAACCAAAGATGAGGAAATTGTGAGTAGATTTATGTCTTATTTAATAAGAATGTGTTAATTACCTGTACAAATTTTCTGTAATTAATTCACTAACATAATTCTTGTCTACTTGGTTAGTTAATGCATTTTACTTCTATTAATTGGATGGTTGTATTACACTGCTGTTCCCTTTTTTGAATGCACTCATTGACAAGAACCAACCAGTTAGTTGGAATATGTGCTGAAAACTGAAATTCTATTGTGGTTAAATTTTCTTGTGTGTGAGTTCTTATGGAAACATGCACTTATTGCTGGACTGTGGTGCATTTGAATGTGATAGTGTTACCTGAGATTCCAGCCTCGCATTTCTATTTCATAGTATTTGCTGAGGAATTGGAAATCTCTTTGGGAGTATGATAGTGTCTTACCACAAACAAGGTCTACAGGAGGAGGAATTGGTCCATAAGCTTGAATCAATGGGCAATAGTCAAAGTAACAGTAACTAAAGTTATTTAGGTAAGACAAGTAACTAAAACCAAAGTTGTTGAAAGGTGGGAGGGGCAAGAGAGAGGAGTAACTTGTATTTTTGGGGTTCAATAGAAGGGAGAGTTCCCAGTCATTCTTGGTCACTTCCCTGTATCAGATTGCCACTTGTCATTGGTTTTTCTAACTGTGTTAAAGGTTGACTGCTTTCCCTAATTTGAGTATCTGTCAGATTATATTGAATGATACATTATTCTCTGTGATACTTTGATCCTGCTCTGTTTGTCATTGTCCAATTGTAGAAAATAGTATGATTGATTGTAGACCTTTCAAAAAAGTCCTGCGGATTCAAATTAGAAATTAGTGGCAGTGCATACTGAACCTTTCTTAGACCCAGAAGATATGGAAGACTGTGTTTGGAAACTTTTTTATCTTATTATTACTAATGCTGACTTGTCTTTTGCAGTTAGAGAAATTAGTAAGTTTATGCAGACTCCCCGTATTGATTATTGGAATACTATCATTCACATCATTAGATACCTCAAAAAGGTTATAGGACAAGGTTTACTATATGAAGATAAAGGAAATACTTAAATGTGTAGGTATTCTGCTGATTGGGTGGGATTCCTATAGATAGGTGTTTCACTACTAGATATTGTTTTCATTTGAAGCAATATTATTACTTGGAAAAACAAGAAACAAAATGTGATTACTCGATGTAGTGCTTAAGTGTAGTATAGGGAGACAACTTTACTCACATGTGAACTTGTGTGGATTAAATCATTCCTTCAACATCTGAAATTTTGCGAAATTCAGCATATGAGAATGTAGTGTGATATAATTAGACAATTATTCACATTGCTTCAAATCTTGTACAACCACATTGAAATTGATAGTCATTTTGTATGAGATAAGTTATTATCCAAGGAAATTTGCATTGAATTTGTCCGCTCCAATGATCAAATTGCAAATATTTTGATTAAATCCTTGAGAAGATGTCAAATTCAATTTATATGTTTCAAGCTTGGTACATAGAATCTGAATGCTTCGATTTGAGGATGAGTGTTTGATATGAATAGTTTATCTTGTCTTCTGACCAACTCTTTTGAAGCTAAAATCTGTTTTTGTTGTACCTATCTGTCACCTAGTGTCCTAGGTGTAGGCTTTTTATCTTTAATTTGTGTTTCTGATGTAAGAGCAGACACCCACCCCACATATATATTAGAATCTGCTTATAGATTGTCATCTCTCAAACTTCCTCATATTTCATACTCAAGTAATACTAATTAATACAGCTACTATTTCACTGGATATGTTAATATTTCATGTTCTCTAACTTTGGAATTTTGACCCAAGTAGCACTTCTATTAATGAAAAATTGACTGTTTTCCTATTTATGTGGTTCAGAGTTCGGATGATGGAAAAAGTTTAGAACTGGTGCAGCCACTGGATAACAATAATGCATGTTCTCACGAGGGTAAAATGTTGACAAGTGCATCTGTTGATTCATTGTGTAAACTGGTCAAAGAACAGTGTAGTGTTCCTGCCCTTACTTGTCTCATAAATGCTTATAGGGCAGTATGCCACAATGATTCTGGCGCCACCAGTGTCAGTGGTTGTGTCTTTTCTCGTGGCATTCAAAAGAGTGAAACTTTCTGCAAGATATTAATGTTCATGCTACATGAGGCTGATACTACATTTAGGAGGTTGTTGGGGATATCAAACTCAAGTTATAGGAAGGAAGCCGTTTTGGACCTAAAGAATACAACAAAGTGGTTGTCTCTTAGACCACTTATCAAGTCCTACTTAAGGAGTACTGTGTTTCTCCTGAACCAGGTCACTGACTCTGAATTATTGGCCTTCTCAATTTGTCGGCTCAGAGCTTCAATCATTTTCCTCTTTGCATTTCCATCTTTACTGCGCAATCTTCTTAAGGTATTCTTAAATTTAGTACCCACAATTTTTGTTTGAAGAGGAATCAAATGTTTCTCCATTATACAGACTGTCTTGATGGTTACTATCTAATAGTAGCAATATGTTTCATCCAAATTGCTAGATGACTAGATGAGCATGATTTAATTCTGTTGATACTTTATTTGTGGTTTGTGTTTAAAGTAAGCTCTTATATATACTGTCTTGACCTTTTGGCCAAGATGTGTGTGAGTCAATCTCATGACATGTGCAATCTTCCTTACCTTACACTTGAATCTATTACAGATTTCTGTTCATCTCTGGGCAACAGGTGATGGGTCTCTATCGTCACACTCCTTTCTCATCATACAAGATATATCTTCTATGTCTAGCTCTAGTTGGTTCGACTTCTGCTTTGTCAAAACATACAAGGCCTTCATTAGTAACTCTCAATTTGTTGAGCGAAAGTTTGAACATATACATTTTCTAAGGAATTCCTTTGTGGAGCTATGTTGCTTAGATATGCAAAAGTCATCTAACAAAGCTATGGCATGTATATTGCATCTGGGTAAGATATTGCAGAAAGGGTGGGAAACTAAAAAGAAGGTAAGTTTCAAACAATATTAATATTGATTGCCTCCTTTTATTAATATAGTGTAAAACGTGTATATGTTTCTACAGGAGTATTATGTTACCACGTTGAGGAAAAAGTTCTGATATTTTGCCTTATATTTTATATGCAGGAGGTGGTTAAGACAATTTGCAGTTGGCAGTACATCAATTGCATTGATTTGTGGGTTACGTTAATATTAGTTAACATACATGACTATGATCTTCAGCCATTGCTGTATATGATCGTACAGATTATAAGTGGAGTTGCTCTCCTGTTTCCTGGGCCTAGATATTTACCACTGAGACTCAGATGTATCCAATGGCTTAATAATCTTTCCGGTTCAAGTGGGGTTTTCATCCCTGTTACATCATTGGTGCTGGATGTTTTAGAATACAAAATTACCAAGGATAGTGGTAAATCTGGCAAAGTCTTGCAACCTATGTCTACCGTAAAGGTCAGAGACTAATTTAACAGGCTCTCCCCCCCCCCCCCCATCATCCCCAACTTAATAATTTTTTTCGTTTAAACGTGGTCTCTTAATCCATAGCACATATTTTAACTATATCATCTACTTGATTGTTGTAGTTGACCATTTAAATTTATTGCAGCTTCCAAAGCATTGGCTAAAATCACGTGGCTTCCAAGAAGAGTGTGTCTCATCTGCCATTGAGCTCCTTTCAGAGCACTTTGCACAATGGAGCTACCATATATCTTTTCCTGAGCTGGCGACAGCACCACTTATACACCTCAAGAAGGTCGTTGAGAAAACTTCTATTGAGAGTTTCAGACGGATTATCAAGCGTTTCATTGATCAGGTATAAGTTATGATAAAAGTAATCCTGTTTTCCTGTCTGCCTATTTAGAGTATATTACATGCCATCTTGTACCATGACATGTGAATGAATGTCTGTAAGGCTAGTTGAACCTTTAAGCCACAGTCACACCCAACTGGCTATTTTTGCTGTAGATCAACATGTATGTCATTTCCTGGGAGCCTTTCCCTGCTTGATGTTTAAGCATTTTTTGCCTTTCCCTTTGTCCTTTGTTAAAACAGAATTTCAATATAGCCACCTCATCCAACTCTTTTGGCCTTTTCTGTTTGTGGTTGGGGAAACTCAGGTGGAGATGAATATTGACTTTGTGCAAAAGAAAAGAGAAGAGGTGCCTTTCTCACCAAAGGATCATCAGTCTGTCGAATCATTTCTTCAGGTTCTCTCACTTAAATTCATCATTGAATCAGTCTTCCAGTCATATTTGTGTAACTAGACTAATTAAAAATCTGATTTGGCAGGTTGAGAAACGAAATGGTAACATGCCATTTACACAATACTATAAAAGCATCATGAGCAAGGCTGCTTCTAGGAATTCAATTTCAAATAGAAAGGTATGATTGACTTAATCACTTGCCTCTTCGAAGTTTCTCTTTGTATAGTCTCGATCATGCTATTTTGAGTCCTTACGATCTTGGGATACCTCATCCTTTATTGCTGTATGAGGGATATGTCATACTTCTTTCTTGGGGGTACCTCATCCTCTTAATTTGTATCATCATCCCTAGCAATATCTCTATTTTCTTTCTTGAGGGATACCATATACCTCTCTCTTTGTAATGTTGCAAACAAGTTTTGTAATTTATCTACGCTAAAATGTACACTAAAACCTGGGCAATTACTGAGCTTAAATTGTGATTTTTCTTAGTAGTCGATTGGTAATTGACACGGTTTAAATTGTTGGAAAAATTAATCTAACTTTCCAAATATTAATGCAAGCGAGGGGAATTATAAGAAGTGTTTTCCAAGAGGTAGTAGATGTATTTTGACTTGGGGAGAACTCCACTACAATACTGAGAGGGCAGGTGGGGAAGGGGCAAATCACAGACATGAATTCCAGTGAGAATCTGGCACCCTACTATGGGAAATGGCAAAAAGTTTAAGGTATGCTGGAAAATAAGGTATCTGGGCAGAGATTGTTGGATGGTGGTCAAATAGGTGGAAGCAGGACCAAACCCACTCAGATTCCAAGTTGGTTTTTGACTAAGGAACCTGTGAAATGTTTGAGTGATATGCTATTTCATACAAACGAACATACTGACGAATAAATACTCATCTCAATTGATCACATTATTTACAAGAAAGAAATTCAAGTTACTACCCAAGCACATGAATTAAAGCAGTATACTTATATATGAGTAATGCTTTACATCGGAGAGATGAGCTTCTCAACGGTTACATTTATCAATAATACGGATCCAATGGTAAATTCCTTAGGAGGATAAGATATATTTGAATATATTATGCTTTGGAATTTGATTCATCTAAGTGTTGTGTTTCTAACATTATCCGTGATTTGTGTGGCAGTCTCTGGTCAAAGGAAAGAAGAAAATGCTACAACCAAATGGCAACTTTGACGTGGTGACTACTGACTCTTGAAAGAAACGTTACTTTCGTGATCCGATCCTACATGAGGTTGATGAAACCAGAATTTTGCTTCCCTGTTGTCTGATGCAAATACTTAAGTTTAGATAATTAGAGATTATGTTGTCAAATCTAAACGTTCAAAACCAATGCAGTTTCATTCATTGGACCCACTGGGCGTTATTTTTAAAATTTTGATTCTAGATTTTAATGTAGTCCTGAGGCTTCTAAGGAAATGTAATACAAGAATGAGGTTACAAATTTGCATTTTGTGGGAGATGTTGTATGTTACAGTGTGGGTACTAGCTTACAGGCAAACAATATTAGCAAGGGATCACTCTAACAAGGCTTTATTAATAAGGGCATTCTTTTAAAATTCTCTGTAATTTTTGGTTGGAGATCTTAGATTTTCGAATTTGGTAATTGGTATTAAAATTATAAAAATGTTCCACACATAAAATTTCAAATCCAAATTTGAAGTCAAATTAATAGTATCTGCACACGCTTTTCCTTCCTGATGGATGTGAGAAACCCCGAATCTGCCATCCAGAATTCAACAACTTGCAAATCTATTGCATCACACTCCAACCCAAGCATTACATTACTTTACAAGCTCGCAGTGACGATAAATTATTCGGAGTCATAATGGAGAAATGGGTAAAAATATTTTTTAATATGATATTCATATCTTGTGAATGATTTTAATTATAAAAAAAATTTGATTTTACGTAATATATAAATAAATTATTTTTACAAATAAAAACTAGGAGAGAAGTAAAATGAAATAAAAAGGCTGGATGTTCAAATTAAAATAAAAATAAAGGGTGAAATTGTTTTGTGCAAAATATATAGTTGAAGTAAACATAAAGACACCCTTTTTCTCTAACTCTTTTCAACTGGGTCTAACTGAAATTTAAGATATTAGGAAATGTGAGTCCAATTTTTGTAGAAAAATGATAGCAATTTTCTTTAAATTAATGTCAATAATAATTTGAGAAATTAGTTGGATGATCACATTTTTTGGAAGCCTAAAATATATGTAACTTGGGATGAATTTTCAATGTTATATAAGTTAGTACCCAATTTTGTTTGTTTTTTTTTTTTTTCAAAAGGAGTACATGAATATATATATATATATATATATATATATATATATATATATATATATATATATATATATTTGTGTTGGTATTACCCTTTTTTTCAAGTTTATAACATAAGATAATGGTAAAAAATAATAATAAAAAGGTCTTATTTCTTGATCCATCACATTCTCTAGCCTGATTCAACTGCTTTCTATTTAAAAAATTGTATAGTAAACCATAAGAATAGAAAATGGTACCTAAGCATGATAAGGGCATGAATTTTGTATTGTTTTTTCTAGTGCTTTCAATTTTTTTAAAAGAGAAAGGTTCAAACTGAATGATAATTGTTGTTATCATTAATTTTTATTTTTATTTTTTACATCTGAAGATAAATTGATTTATTTTTATAAAAAATATATTTAAAAAGTCTTCACTATTTTATTGAAAATGTAAAACATTTTGTTTGAGGGTAAACAACAATTAAGCTCTGTCTAATTTATGTTTTTTAATATCACTCATTTCATCATATACTTTTCTTCCCTCTCCATACTTTAAGAAGTATGCATAGTGGAAAAAGAGAGTAAGAACATTAGGACTTTATCTCTTGAGTAGCAAAAGTCTTGAAAAACACACGGAGGATTCATTTGACATATTTGCGGAGATGAAATAATGTTTTGTGTTTGTGTAAAATTTTTAACTGTTTAGGTTTATCTAAAATTTACATATATATTTTTTAGATCGATCATGATAATACATAAAAAGACTCTACTATTTAAAATATTTTTAGATAAATGTATAATTAATATCATGTTAAAATCATGGTTTATATATATATATATATATATATATATATATATATATATATTATCACTAAAATAGATAAAATAAAAATTAAAAATAACTTGGAAAATATTTAAAAAATATATTTAAAAGTTTTTCACTAAAGCAAAATATATTTTAACGTATTTGTAGAGGGAGCAACAACATTTCATCCCTCAACACACTTATTAATTTATCATAAGAGAGAATCAGTGGGAAAAAATGTAAATTTATTAAATATTAATTAAATTTTCTTATTTTTTAAATTTATTCATATAAATTTATTATTTTAATATTAAAATGAGTAATCATACATTAATAAATTCAAAATATCATTATATTTAAATATATTTTTCGTTCTTAATTCTTAATAAAACTTTCTTCTTTTATGATTCCTAATCGTTTTTTTATTTCATCTCTGTTTTTATATTGACTTTGTTAATTTGACATATGATTACCCGATGAAAAATATTTTTAATAAATGAATTTTTCAAGAAAAAAATTATACACCAATCCAAATTTTTTTAATATTTTAAAAACTACTCAACCAAACCAAGCATTTTAATTATGAAAAATAAAATATAAAATTTTCAGCGAGTAAGAAGATGTTTTTTTTTAAACTAATAACAAATACAAATATATTCTTACACAAAAGTCTTTCTTTAGAGTAAATTAAACTTTTATACGTTCTCATGTTTTCTAAAATTATATTCATACAATTTTGTGTTTTTTTTTGCTTTATTGTTATGGTCTTCTTTATAAGAATGTAAGTGTAATTTTTTTTAAAAATGTACATAAAAAAAATATAATATCTAAAAAAGAGTGATAATTTAATATTTTTAAAATAAAAAAGATAAATTTGCCTAATTTTTTTTTTAAAATAAGTTGAGATGTTAAGGAAGCAACTCACGTTATTCTTACCTTCAAAAAATTGTATAAAAATGATCATGATGTTATATCATTTTTAAACAACTTGTATCTCTAATTAAAATATTAACTTTTTTTATGAGAGTTTTTTCATTGAAATATTTAAATAAAATATTATTTGTTTAAAATAAAAATTAAATTTATATGACATAATAAATGTATAAATATGAAAGAGAATATGAGAGATAATAAATATTTTAAAATTTATTAAAAAAAATTTCAATAAATTAAAATTAATATTGAGTTATTTAAAAATAATATAAAATTATAATTTTTTTTTACAATTTTTCAAGATGAGAATCAATCCATTAATTGCTTCTACTGGATATATTATTTGATTTTACTCGTATTAAAAAAAATTAATAAATTTTTCTCTTCATTTATTTTTTATTTAATTATTTTTATAAATTGTTTGATGAAATAATTATAAAAATTTAAAAACTTATATATTATATAATATTTTTTAATAAAATATTATTTTAAGTAATTAATATTTTACTTAAGTATCTTAATTTAATTTGAGAAAATATTAGGAAGTATAATTAATTTGTTTTTTTTTATCTTTTACGTTTGAAAAAAAAAAAAAATGTACGACGAGAGACTTCTAAGGCTATGCGAGTTTGGTCTGACGGTAATTCTTGAATCCTTTGAGGTGGAATTTGAGTTGCGGGCTTGGACGTGAAAGTCGAGGAAGAATCACATGATAAGCACGTGAAGTTGCTTCAAATTAACTTTTTTCTTGTCTTGTTTTTTTGCTGTGATCACGTGATGCCATAATCATGTATAAAAAAAAAGTTTAGGGTTTCAGAGGTATCATTCATTAACTATAAGCGTCAAACGAGTCAGTGAAAACACCAAAAGAAAATGAATGGTTTGGTCAAAAGATCAGAAAAAACACCTCAATTACGCTGTCAGGGAATTCTTTTTTCTTCCTTTCTCGTCAAATAATTATCAAATTCTTAATTTTGTTGGAGATTTTTTTTTTCTTTTTATTTGGAAAAGTTCAGTTAAATTGGATTTTGACAATTCAATGTTTCAAGTTCAAAAAAATGTTTATGTGGATAATTTTGTATAACTTATTAATGAGATCTTCGAATATAAATTTTTGCACAACATGTTTAATTGTAAATCATCATTTTGTGAATTTTATGTCTTTTTTTTTTTACATTCAAAATTTTAATTTTAGTCTATTTTATCGATACGTCGTGAAGAAAAAAGAGAGTCAAGAAATTATGATTAAAAATAGCGTTTTGAATAAATTGATACCTTTTTTATTTTTTATTTTTTTCGTAACTCATCATCCCATCATAATTTAACAATTTGGTACAAATTAAAATAAAAAAAGTTAATGGTAAAATGATAAAATAAATTAGCTGATAAAAAAATTTAAAATAATCTTATACAATTTAAGCGCATCTCTATTGAAAAAACTCATTTAAATATTTTTTTAAAAAATTTAACATTCCTTATTTATTTATGAGTTGATTTAATAAGATTGAATTAATTAAAATGTTAAATTTTATTAAAGTCTATTTTAAGTTAGTAAAAATATAACGAAATTACCAATTTATCAATTACCAAAATTCAATTATATAGGAATATTTTTGGAGATAAAACTTCCTTATTAAATATATAAAGAATTTATTTACGAATAAAAAAAGTCGTAGTGAAGAATTGACTAAAACTTTATTATATATAAAATATTGACCACAACAACCACAATCAATAGAATAATGCGTCTCAAATCTGAATTGAACCCTAAAATCTCACCAATAAGCATATACTCTCATCAATCATGATGTTGGTGACAAACAAATTGTTCCTCATTATTGTTTTTCTTATAAGCTTAAATTTAATATCTACATGTTTATTTTGATTATTTAATATATTTTTTAAAATTAAATAGCTAATAAATAAAATATATTGTTTTTTTTTCTATTACTTGTTTTAACTAGAACGATCGGTTTATTTATTACAATGAAACACATATTATACTATACAAATGGTTAAAAAGTTTATATATATATATATATATATATATATATAATATTTTGTTACTGAGTTGTGATAAATAATGATTTATATCCATGTTTTTCTCACAATCATAAGGATAAATAGTAACGAATTAAAATTTTGAAGAAAATAATATCTTGTAATTGGCTCTAATATTATTATAACAATATAAAATTAAAATATTCTCGTTTATATAAAAAAATATCAATAACACAAAACTTATAAACGTACTCAACTAATTAATATATATCTTATTTTTATTAACAAGATAAATTATTATAAGATGAAAAAAATTTATTATTATGAAAAAATAAGTTAAAAACTAAAAAAATTAAAAAAATAGTTAAAAGCGTTAATATAATAATATAAACAAAATGTAAATAAAGATTTCTTTTATGAATTTATATTAAAAAAGAATTATTTGATATCTAATACAAGCTAGCCACATATCAGATAAATGAAATTTATTTAAGCTCTTTCTTAATGTAACGTAACATTGCGGGTTGTCTACGTTACTTGAGAGGCCAATAAATGGTTAATGACACAATTACAAGACATTGGTGGTTAGGGTTTAATGATTTCGGTGGTAACGGAATAATGATGTGGTTTCAGTTGAGTTGGACGGTCCATTTATTTTAATTTAATCATGAAGGAAAGTATCAAACATCACTAACAAATGGCTGTAAGAATAAAGAGATAATTTGAAACGTGAAGAATATTCTTCGATGCAATTCGCTTAGGTGTCAGACGCATCAAGATAAAGATGCATGGAAAGTGTATAATATATATGACATTTTACGATGTAGTTCACAATATTATAATCAAATCACAGTGGCATTGGTATTTGGGTATTACTAGCAAGAAACTAATATTCATTATTCGTGTACATCAAACACAAATAGAGAACATAGTTTTTTTTTTTAAACAAAAAGTAAAATCCTAAAGCTCAATTCTAATTGTATTAACATACATTTGAGTAAAAATAGGTGTATATCTGTATTTTTTTTTGTAAATACCATTTAATCCATATTAATTTCATATACATATAATTTAATAATAATAATATATAAGATAATATAATAATTTTTATATACATCTAGAAATGATTATAAAAGGATTTTATGGCAAGGGTAGAAAGATTGAGGAACGAGAAAGAGGTCGTGAGCATTCTTGGACAAATGAATCACATATGATCTTTAACTTACAAAACATGTCAAATGAGGTATAGGCATAATGTACGATTAATATTATTGGAAGTGAATTTGTAGAAAGAAGAAATAAAAGTTTTACCCGCTATGGCAACCGAGACCATGGAGCGACAAAAAAATTTATGATTTAAGAAAAAAAGAAAGAAAGTGGAAGTTGTCATCATAATTCATTAAGAAAAATTATAAAAAAATTAAAAAAAAAAGTCCCAAAATCAGATTTGGAGTTGGTTATACGTAGGAAAGATATTAATATCTTATAACATCTTTCTTAAAATTATCTTTAGTTAAACGTGCAAAATAAATATCATTTAAAAAATATTTATTTTCTCTAAATATTAAATAAAGAAAGATAAAGAGAAGACAAAAAATATATTGAAAATATTTTATTTGGGTCCGATAAGGATTGACTTTACTCCTACATATTTATATTGGTGATGAAAAATCAAGATTACGTAGTTATTTGAAGAAAAATTTTGTAGGTTAAATTAATGTTTTAAAATTTTGGTATGTTTTGAAAAAAAAGACTTGTATTCTTTATTTTTCTGAAAAAGTTACAAAGTATAGGACGATGGGAGCAATAGTATTGGATATCCTTGCATAAGAAAATATTGAATGGTTATAAGACACTGCGAACGACTATTCATATAACCTAAATAATTTATTATAAAGAGACATATGATGACCCGTGTGATCATGCCGTGTCTAAAACTTATTTATTTGAAAAAAAGTTAAAACTTAATAGGAGATATAAGATGACTTTTAACGTTGAAAAAATTGATATATACATTACTATAGCAATGACCATTAACGACGGTCAAATGTGGGTTACCACGTCGGTTAAAGACCCATCATTGATGGAATCGTCATTGTATTTAAGAGATACAATGACGAGTATTTACCCATTGTTGATATTCTAAAGTGTTCCAATTAAGCTATCACATACATTTTTCTCTACGTGCATTACATCAATAAAGTTGTCTGACATTAAACTTACTCCAATATGGTAGATAAAAGAAGATAGACCTTTTCTTCCAAATGTCAGTTACAATTGATCTTTTTTTTTTTTTCCAAACACAATATTAATATCCTTCACCCTTTCATACAATGGCGGATCTTGACCAATGATCTTGGAGGGACCAAATAATATATTATTAATAAATAATAAATAAATATAAAAGGAAGTAAGAAAATGAAAAGATGAAAGGATAAAATTGTAAATATATACTTAAATATATTAAATAATCATTAAGTTTGGGGGAAATAAAATCATAAATTGTATGAGAGTGAGGAGGAGTTGGGAGGATAAAATTGTAAATATACAAGTAAATACATTAAATGTTCATAAGTTTGGGGGGGGAGGGGTCAAAATCATAAATTATATGTGGGAGTTACAAAACTTTGGAGAGGCCACGACCCTCCTCAGCTCCCAAGAATATCCGCCACTGCTTTCATAGGTTTGAACATCAGTTGACAGAGTTAGTGCTTCGTCATTCTCTTGATCTCCATTAAAAGCTTTTGTCAGTTGACGATAAGAGTGAAATTATTTTAGAAATCTCCGATGCTAAAGATAACTATCTTCCTACCATGTTTCAGTTGCTTATGACTAGTATTTTCTTGACAAATAGGATAAATATTATGACCTTTTACACTGTAACCTTTCTATATACAGGAAAATCATTGATAGTGCAAAATAACAAGACATGCATCTTGAAAGACTCACAAGCAAATCCCTCAAACACCTCAACCCCTTCATCCCATAACAGTTTCAAATCTTTAATCAATGGATTAAGATATACATCTATGTCATTTTCTGGTTGTCTTGGACTTAAGATCATCATAAACAACATTATGTATTTACGTTTCAAACACAAGCTTGGAGGTAGGTTGTAAATAAATAGCAAAATAGGTCAGGAACTATGATTAATACGTAGATTACTAAACATGTTCATTCCATCAGTAGCTAATCCAAGTCTAAGATTTCTTCACTCAACACCAAATTCAGAAAACTTATTATCAAACTCTTTCCATTGCATAAAGTCAGCTGGATGACGAATCAATCCATCACCTGTCTTCCCATCTGCATGTCATCTAATGTTTTTAGCGTCTTTAGGATTCACAAATAAACGCTTAAATCTTGGAATTATTGGAAGATACCAAATGAACTTGGCAGGGGGTTTCTTAATAGTAATGTTTTCACTACTATCTTCATTATTATCATTCACTTTGTAATGAGATAACCCATGAATTGGACATCTTTTCAGTTCTTCAAACTCATTTCTATATAAAATACAATCATTGGGACATGCATGTATCTTTTTATACTCTATACCCATTGGACAAAGTATTTTTTTCACCTTATAATTACGATTGTGATATGAACCTCATTTGCATAAGGGCTGACTTAGGATCTTTAGGGTTAGAACCTTGTAGGAAATTAGTGAGAAGGTGGATTAGAAAGTGGTGAAAGTTTCAAGGTTGAGCAAATTTTAGAAACATCGATATCTCAAGTTATAAAACTCCGATTGAGGTGATTAAAAAACAAGGTGAAAGTTCTCACTATGAATTTCAATTTAGGCTAAAAAAACACTCAATTTGGACGAGAAGAACGAAAGTTATGACCACGAAATAAATCTGGGAAGAATTGAGTTTTCTAGGTTCTGGTGAAGAAAGGACAAGAGGTGAATGTGAAAGGTTGAAGGAAAAAATCACTTTTCCCTAGGGAGACAACTCACAAACGATGTAAAAGATTATGAGAATCACTTTCACCAAGATAAAATAGTTAAACTCTAATATTTTTGAATAAAACTCAACTTGTATTTTTGATAAAAATGGTTCAACTTATATAAAAGCTTTGTCATCAGAGTTAACAAGATTCAATAAAAGAAAAATAAATGCTAATAATTATCCATTAATCTAAGAATTGAAAACTACTTAATGGAGGCAAATAAATGTTAATAATGATCCATTAATTTAGGAATTGAAAACTACATAATGGAGGCAAAAAATGCTAATAATAGTTCATTAACCTAGAAATTGAAAACTACTTAATGGCTGATTGTAACTGAAATTGTGGCAACCAAAAGTCAATCAACTATGCACCCTCTTAGTCTCCAAAAGACTGATGCCTAAGTTTCCAATTGGGCCCTTATTACAACTTGAAAAAAATAAAATTAAAGTCCATTAATTGATTAACCAAAAACATAATTTGGTCAGCCAATTCTACAAAGGATTGGACCATTATTTAAAAAAACTTAAAGACTGACAAAGTGACGCATTAGCCTTTCTCCATTTGGGCTATGATACAATTCACAATTTTGGTCTTTTCTCCTTGAAATGTGGGCTTGTATTCAAATAATATGGACAACACTTGTTGAAGAGCTTCTTTTGCTTCCCTTGCTCTAGCCCTTGTCATAGGTCTTCCAAGTCCTTCAAGTGGATCCTTGCCCCTGTTCATGGTCATGTCCTCATCATTCTCACCCTCTTAAGAAGGATTTGTCCTCAAATTGGATTCTCCATCTACATCAAAAAGATATAAGTCAGACACATGTGGAACTAACATTATACTCACTGGGCAACTCAATTTTGTAAGCATTGTTATTGATTCTTTCAAGCACTCGAATGGATCATTCCCTTGGTTGAAGTTTTAATTTTCTTTATTCTGTAAACCTTTCCTTTCTCATGTGCACCCAAACCCAATCTCTCGGTTGGAAGACAACATTTTTTCTCCCTTTATTGGCTTGCTTAGCATATCTTTCATTTCTTTTCTCAATTTGATTTTTGACTCTTTCATGAAGCTTCTTTACATATTTTGCCTTAACTTGACCTTCTTTATGCTTAAAAACTGAAACGTTAGGCATAGACAAAAAATCAAGAGGAGTTAGTGGGTTAAAACCGTAAACAACCTCAAAAGGAGAACAATTAATAGTAGTATGAACAACACTATTGTAAGAAAACTCAACATGGGGTAAACAAACTTCCCAATTCTTTAAGTTCTTCCTCAAAACTATCGTAAGCAATATTCCTAATGTCCTCTTAACAACTTCCATTTGCCCATCGGTTTGTTGGTGACAAGTGGTTGAAAATAACAATTTAGTTTCCACCTTACCCCACAAGGTCCTCCAAAAATGGCTTAGGAACTTAGAGTCCCTATCACTAACAATGCTCCTTGGAAAACCATGGAGTCTCATAATTTCATTGAAAAACAAATCAACCACATGAGAAGTATCATTCAATTTTTTACATGGAATAAAATGAGCCATTTTAGAAAACCTATCAACAACCACAAAAATTGAATCTTTGCCACTGCTTGTTTTTGGTAGCCTCAAAACAAAATCCATCGATAAATCAATCCAAGGATACTTCGAAATAGGAAATGAAGTATACAATCCATAAGGCTTAACTTTTGACTTTGCCTTTTTTTCAAACAATGCAATGTTCACAAAATTTCTGCACATCCTTTTTCAAATGAGGTCAATAAAAATGTTCTTGTAATGTTTCTAAAGTCTTTTGGACCACAAAATGTCCCATTAAACCTCCTTCATGTGCTTCACTAACAAGAAAATTTCTTGTAGAACATTTAGACACACACAATTTGTTTTCTTTGAAAAGAAAACCTTCATGTCTAAAGAAACCATTTTCTGAAATTTTTTCCACAATTTTTAAAAATTTCACCAAAAGTTTCATCATTTTCATACATGCTTTTCACCGAGAAAGAGCATCGACTACAACGTTACCTTATCACCTTTTATGTTTGTAACATAAGGGAATTTCTCTAGAAATTCCACCTACGTAGAATGCCTTTTATTCAAGTTACCTTATCCCTTGAGATACTTGAGGGACTCATGATCACAATGAATGACAAATTCCTTGAGATAAAGGTAGTGTTGCCATGTTTTTAAAGCCCTCACTAAGGCATACAACTCCTTATCATAAGTTGAATAGATAAGGGTAAAACCACTTAACTTTTCACTAAAATAAGCAATTGGATGACCCTCTTACAATAACACAACCCCAATCCCAACATTTGAAGCATCACACTCAATTTCAAAAGATTTTTGAAAGTTTGGCAAAGTAAGTATGGGGCCATTGATTAACTTTTTCTTAA